CAGCCACACCCGCCCTAGACAGCTCACCCCAGCGGGGGATCTCAGTGGCCTCAGGGAACTGGTGACGCCAAGCGTCCGTCAGGCGGCCAAAGCAGCGCTGGGTGGAGTGCGCACCCCCGCACTGCTCACCCGCGCGGTCGCCGGTGCGGAGGACGTAGGTGCACGGACCAGTACCCCCACCCCTCTGGCGTGCAGTGTACCACTCACGGAGCTGCTGAGGGGAGGGGATGTCACGAGTGCGCTGCTGGTGCTGCTGCTGCTGCTGGCGCTGACCACCACCGGAGCCGACCCTCTGCGCAGCGCCACCCCGACCAGCTCCACCTCCTCCGCCGCCTCCTCCTCCACCGCCGCCACCTCCGCTCCCTCCGCCACTGCCGCTGCCGCCTCCGCCTCCACTGCCGCCACCGACACCTCCACCCCCGCCACCACCCCCACCGCCACCCCCACCTCCTCCACCGCCTCCACTGCCGCCTCCACCGCCCCCGCTAGCTCCTCCAGCGCCCCTGCCCCCCTTGCCCTTGCCAGGGCGGCGTCTCCCGCTAGGGGTAGACGCCGCACCGACCGACTCAAGCCCAACGAGGTCGGCCGCAGCAGCAGAGGCAACAGAGGGCAAAAGGGGGGAGGGGGAACACCCCTCAAAGATGGGGGTGCGAGGGTCACCACGAGAGGCTCCTACAGCTACTATGCTCTTCTCTGCTGCTAGGAGGGACTTCTCGAGGAGGTCAACGGTGAGAGTGGTGGGGCAAACTGAGAGGAAGTGGTCCCTGACTACGCGAAGGGAGTCAGGGAGCCGGGTGACTATGTAGTAGAGGGTGATGTACATGGGGGGGGGGTTCTTGGCGCAGAACTCAGCAGGAAGCGCAGCGCGGTAGCGAGTGTCACTAGTGCGTAGGTGCGTAATGAGGTCAGCGACTGTGGGAAAGGCAGCAAGGTCAGGGAAGAGGTACGGTAGCATGAGGCGACTCAGTGCAGCAGTGTCAGGGGAGGAGTAGCGTGCAACTACAGCGTCGTACAAGGTCTGAGCACTCTTGTACTGGCTAAAGTGCGCACGCTCAGAGGTAGGCAGGTGGCGACGCACAGCAAGACGTGCAGCAGCATCGCACGTGGCCCACTGGGAGCGAACAGTTGCGTCAGCATCAGTGGCGGGGGCAGGAGAGGCACCAGAAGTGAGGTCAAAGAGGGAGAGGCCGTCTGCCCTATCGCACTGTAAGAAAAGCTGCAGGTCATCTATCCAGACGTCAAAGTCAATGGCCCGACCCTCAGCGTCAAAAGCGAGGACACTAGGGGTAGCCATGACAGTAGTAGACTAGCAGCGCAAACAGTGGGGTGAGGGCAGTGCTGTGAGAGAGGCGCTGCTCTTACCGGACAGGGCGGCTCGGGCGGCTCGGTTGCAGGGCGGCTCGGCGACTCGGCTGCTGGGCGGCTCGGCTGCTGGGCGGCTCGGCGGCTGGGCGGCTCAGCGGCTCGGCTGCTGGGCGGCTCGGCGGCTCTGCTGCTGGGCGGCTCGGCTGCTGGGCGGCTCGGCGGCTCGGCTGCTGGGCGGCTCGGTGGCTCAGCTGCTGGGCGGCTAGGCTGCTGGGCGGCTCGGCGGGGCCGCTGAGAGGGCGGCGTCCGGGGCCGCTGGGAGGAGGCGGCGGGGCCGCTGAGAGGAGGCGGCGTGGCCGGAAAGGTAGGTGGCGGGGCCGCGTCAGGGGCCGCGACAGGGGCCGCGTCAGGGGCCGCGTCAGGGGCCGCGGCAGGGGCCGCGTCAGGGGCCGCGGCAGGGCCGCGTCAGGGCGCCGCGTCAGGGGCCGCGTCAGGGCGCCGCCAGGGGCCGCGGTACGGGCCGCGTCAGGGCCGCGTCAGGGCCGCGGCAGAGCCGCGTCAGGGCCGCGTCAGGGGCCGCTTCAGGGCCGCGGCAGGGGCCGCAGCAGGCCGCGTCAGGGCCGCGTCAGGGGCCGCGGCAGGGCCGCGTCAGGGCCGCGGCAGGGGCCGCGTCAGGGCGCCGCATCAGGGGCCGCGTCAGGGCGCCGCCAGGGGCCGCGGCAGGGCCGCGTCAGGGCCGCGTCAGGGCCGCGGCAGAGCCGTGTCAGGGCCGCGTCAGGGGCCGCTTCAGGGCCGCGGCAGGGGCCGCGGCAGGCCGCGTCAGGGCCGCGTCAGGGGCCACGGCAGGGCCGCGTCAGGGCGCTGCCAGGGGCCGCGTCAGGCCGCGTCAGGGCGCCACCAGGGGGCGCGTCAGGGGCCGCGATAGGGCGCCGGCAGGGGCCTCGTCAGGGCGCCGCCAGGGGCCGCATAGGGGGCGCGTGGGAGGCGGCGTAGGGGCCGCGTAGGGGCAGCGTAGGGGCCGCTAAAAAAAAAAAAAATTTGGGCAGGGCGCAATGTGCGCGGGCAGCTAAAAAAAAAAAAATTTCTTATGGTGGGCCCTTAGGAAGGAACGGTCCCATGTAGGAACCCGCTCTGATACCATGTGAATCAAGAAAACAGGAATGAAATGACTAAGTGAAAGTTGGGTACAAAAGGCAAACCCTAGGCAACTGTACCCCATATGTGCTACCCCACTATAGCCTACAGTAGCTATGTCATATAACTCTGACAACCCCCACCACCGTGGAACGCACGGCGGAATGGGAGCAATGGGCAGCACGGGGGGGGGGGGGGGACGGTACGGGCTGCAGGGACGGGCCGCGGGCTGCTGCAGGGGCGGCTCGCGCGGATCCTGGGGCGGCTGCTGCAGGCACGGGCTGCTCCAGGGGCGGCTGCTGCAGGTGCGGGCTGCTCCAGGGGCGGCCGCTGCAGGTGAAAGGTAGGAGGGAGGGGGGGGGGAGGAGCGCGGCCCCCAGGGCGCCCCGACGGGCGACGAGAAAGGGAGCCGCGCGGCCCCCCAGGGCCGCCGCGACGGGCGACGGGAAGAGCGCCGCGCGGGCCCCCAGGGTCGCCGCGACGGGCTACGGGAGGGGAGGCCGCGCGGGCCCCCGAGAGCGCCTCGACGGGCGACGGGAGGGGACCGCGCGCGGGCCCTCGTGGTCGCCACGACGGGCGACGGGAGGGGAGGCCGCGCGGGCCCCCGAGAGCGCCTCGACGGGCGACGGGAGGGGACCGCGCGCGGGCCCCCGTGGTCACCACGACGGGCGACGGGAGGGGAGGCCGCGCGGGCCCCCGAGAGCGCCTCGACGGGCGACGGGAGGGGACCGCGCATGCCCCCCAAGGGCACCACGACGGGCGCCACGGAAGGGTAAACCACCACGCGCCCCGAGCGCGCGGCGGGCAGAAACCCTAAAAGTAGTGCCGCGCACCACGGGGCGCGCGGCGGACAGAACAGCAGCGGAAGCAGGTGGTGGGCCCATACAGGAAGGCGGCAGACATATGCCGCCCTCTGATACCATGTCAGAATGAGAGAAGAAGGGTTAGAACAAGAAAGAGGGGGTTCACTAGCAGCAGTTGGGATACAAATAGCAAACCCTAACTGGGTTGTACTCGCTATAGAGCACCCCACTGCAGGCTAGATAATATAACATTCTGACAGAAACCAACCCTGCGCTTTGGTAACTACACGACACACGGTAGCTGTTTGAAGGTTTTCCCGCACTTCAAATTCTTCCTGCTTGCAACCATCTTCGATAACCGCTTGTGTCGCTCGGTCTTCGTCCTTGCTGCAGTTATCTTCGTGTTGAGAGTGTGTTACTCTAGGAATGTTATTCAACAATTCCATATCGTAACAAATTGGGCCTAGGAAACACAAGTTCCGTCAGTCAGCTGTACGTTCTACGGGTTCACGAAATTGTTACAATGCTCTCACGATGCTCGCATACCTGTCAATGTTTTCCTCAGATAACGTCACAAAGTAAACATGAATAGTCATTGTCACTCCTCAACAATCATAAGCAACTTCATGCAGCACTTATAAAGAATGTGTGATTATTGCATACGCTATAGTGGCAGCGTCTGGTAAAGAGGCCCCCTTCCCAACCTCATCATTTTGTGTGATTATTGCATACGCGATAGTGACATTTTGCGGGCACTGATTGCACCAAGCTCATCATCTCGAAGCCCACTTCATCAACATACACGTTGAGATGTCGAGAACCAGACTGTACCGATGCCTACCGAAGGAGCACAAGGGGTTTATGATGGTCAATCGCAACGCAAATCACGGACAGTACTGTACTGTTACGGTCGAACGCGGTAAAAAACCAAAACCACGATTCACCGTGTAGAAACTTACTGCACCTCAACGGCTTCGTTTTCCTCGTTCGCTTCGCCCCCGTTCCCCCTACGGTTCCGCTCATCCTGCTTTCCGCCATGGCTTGGCTTGAAGATTGATTGACACAGAGCAACAAGCTTCAGCAACGCGTCACAATCACGTGCATTATATAGCTAGCTCACGGATAGCCAATCAGCGCGCATGACTCCTCCCCCCCGAGCTGCTATTGAGTTGCAGGGACCCAATAGCAGGCCCGCGTTTAGAACCGGCAAGGAATGGCGACGTTTAACTCGACGCCTATACCATTCCGATTGATGCGCTCGCCTGTCTTATTGATGGTTCGCAAGAAAACTCAATGCGCCTCCATTCTGGGCTTTGAGTTATCGTCCCGCTGAGGTACCTTCGCGGAATCTCCTTACTTCTTGTCCGTTGATCTCCGCGTTCAGTCGTAATGCTGGGACTTTTTGGTCCTTCCATCCCGGAGCCTCAACGTGACTATAAACATGGGTAATTTCAGCTCATAGAAACGCAATCAGAAACAATTTCAACCTCGTTGGCCTTTCTCGAGAAGCAATAACTTGCTCCTCTTGCAGATCGATCTCCTCCCTTTCCTCATTATGGCCATCATTCGTACTCGCTGCGTCTTACTATTCGGTAAGCGTTACCATTTTGTTAGCGCTATTGTTCGATAAGCGTTTCCCCTGAAGGGAGTCTGCAACAATATGCCATCTCAATCCAAACTCATTGCTTGCCAGCTGTCAACCAGGCATGGTAACCCGATCGCTAATTTCGCCTCTCGTCGCGTGTGTGCTTCATGCAGCGTTCCTCACGGCGGCGCTGGTGGCGATGGCCTATGCGAAGAAATCTGCGAAAAAACCTGGTCAGTTCGCCCTTTCGGGGTTCCATTCTTCCGCACCCAAAAAAGTCTCTCCGGTATGGAATACCCTAACGTATGACCTTATCTTCACGGCGGATTTGAAATGTAACACCAGAATCCGCATGGCACGTGACTCTCCCTCTCTCCCTCTTTCTCTCTCTCTCCCTCTTTCTCTCTCTCTCTCTCTCTCTCTCTCTCTCTCTCTCTCTCTCTCTCTCTCTCTCTCTCTCTCTCTCTCTCTCTCCTCTCCCTCGCTCTCCCCCTCTCCCCCTATCTCCCCCTCTCCCCCTCTCTCCCCCTCTCTCCCTTTCCCCCCCTCTCTCTCCCTCTCCACCTCTCTCCCTCTCCCTCGCTCTCCCCCTTCTCCTTCGCTGTCGGTCTTAACGATCAAGAGCCAACCTCGCCTCCACCATCCCCTCCCAACCCCTCCCCCTCCAGGCCCCTCAATCTTCCCTCCTCTTCCTCTCTCCTCCCAGTTCCTCCAAAACCAGTTCCTCCAACACCAGTTCCTCCGACACCAGTCACCATCTTTACCATCCTGTCAGGCGACAAGGAGGTTCCCAAGAATGTCACAAAAGCTTCCAGGAGCCCCGTTGGAGACCCAACTGGCAAGGCGTACCTGAAATTGACCATCTACAAGTGAGTCCGTCAGGCTGAATTCCGCAGCTCTAACAGAGGAGAGCCAATGGGTGCACTGATGATACCAAATATCTTCTTCCATGTTCAGAGCTTAAATTTCATGTGATGCTCAATCAACCCCATTACAATGTCGTTGAGAACAACCCCTGTTTCTCTGGCGTGTGATATTTAGGCAAGACGACCAGCCAGTGTGGCTCGAGTACTCAGTGCAAGCTGAGAACATGCAGTACGGTGTGGCCCCGTCCATGGCGCGCGTACACAACGGAACAGCGGGATCGAACGGTCCCAAGGTGTTGGATCTGCCGTGCAAGTACCGGTTCTCCATGGCCAACAATTGGTGGCAATGCACCAGCAGTCTCGGGAAGACAACGACGGAACGGACTGAAACGTTTGTGTTGGTTCTCAAGGCAATTTTGACGGATCCGGCTGCGTTCTACGCGAATGTTTACACTGTGATGCGTCCTGATGGCGCTGTGCGCGGGCAGATTGGCGAAATTTAGCAGTTAGAAGCCTATCTAAGCAGTTTAGCAGGCACTGCCCGCTTATTGTATCAGTGTAATTTGACCTTGTTTGTCAGAAACGAAATGATGGCTCTATTACTCTGAGTTGGGGTACATATACCTAACCCTAACAACTGTACCCAACATGACATGCCTCATTACAGGCAACAACATTTGACACACCCCCATAGCCTAAGCGAGGGGTGTCATGCAACAACCAAACCATACGGTCACAAGACCAGTCTCAAAAAGACAAAGCTCAGGGTGGATCACAACGTCACCGCACATTCCGAGCACAAACAAGAGGCCACAAGGCCAGTCCAAGAGTTCACAGAGGTATATGTAAAGTGTACAAACAAAACAAGCAGACAACAAAAGTCTACACAAAACAATAACATGTGTCAACGAGACCTAACTGCACACAAAATCTGTGGTGATCACAAGGCGGAAGGGCGTTGGTGAAGATGCCTGCAGTGTTGGCCTCGGAGTCCACGAAGTCCAAACGAGCCAGTCCACGCCTCTGCAACTCTCGAAGAAGAAAGTACCTAACGCTGATGCGCTTCACTCTGCTCTCCAGTCGAGACTCTCGACACAGGAAAATCATAGCCTTGTGTCAAGAATGAAAGTGTTGGTTTGGGGTACATAAACCTAACCCTAACAGTTGTACCCCGTATAACACACATCACTGGTAAGACTACAACATTTGACACACCCCCATAGTCTAAGTGACGGGTGTCAAGCAAAACCAAAATTGTACGGTCACAAGACCAGTCACAAAGCAACAAAGCTTATGGTGGATCACAACGTCACCACACTCTCCGAGCACAAGCAAAAGAGCCACAAGGCCAGTTCAAAATTTAACAGAGGTATATATAAAGCGTACTAAGAAAGCAAGCAGAAAACTCAAAACTACGCAAGGCGAGAACCTGTGTCAACGAGACCTAACTGTCGAGAGAGTTAGGAGAAGTGTGTGTGTTAGGTCTAGGATGGGGTACAAACAAGAGTGTCGAGGTGAACCTATACCCCCTAAGGCTAGCCCCTATATAGCCTAGACAACTTAATACACATATATGTTTGACACACCCCCATAGGCGAAGTGGGGGATAGGCAGAGCAAACAATGGTCACAAGACCAGTCAAAGCAAGCTTAGGGTGGATCACGAAGTCACCACACACTCTGATCACATGCAGAGTTATATATATGGGAACAAGCAGTATAGTGATCACAACCTAGCAAGTGTAAGCAGGCAAGTATAAGTATATAGATCACAGTACAAGCAAAGTCACGAAGTGAGCGAGTGAGGCAAAGTAGGCACAAGGCCTAAAACAGTACAGAAGCGCTGATGATCACAAGGCTGAAGTGCCTTGGTGAATATATCAGCAGTGTTGGCCCGAGTGGTCACGTAAGCAAGACGAAGCTGACCACGCTGCTGCAACTCTCGAGCCAGGAAGTAACGCAGAGCGATGTGCTTCGTTCTGTGCTCCAGTCTGTGCTCCTGACACAAGGCAATAGCGGCCTTGTTGTCTATGTACAGAACTGGAGGAGAACGAAGCCTCTCTCCTAGGTCGGTCAGCAGGTAGGTGAGCCAGCGTAACTCCTGTGCAGCCATGGCTGTGGCGTAGATCTCAGAATCACAACTGGAGCTGAGAACAGAAGACGAGCGGGTAGACCGCCAAGAAACAGAGCCGGAGCCAAGGCTGAATGTGTAACGCTGAGACGACCGCTGCGTAGTCAGGTCGTCAACCCAAGAAGCGTCTGAGTGTCCAGTGAGGACAACTGGACCCCGCCCTCCAAGCACGAGCCCCATGCCCGATGTACTGCACAAGTAACGCAGTACCCTTTTTGCAGCATCGAAGTGCACCTTTCAGTGCCTACCAGGAGCCACGTAGCGTGCCAGAAGGCCAAGAGGGTACGCAAGGTCAGGACGAGTGCAGGTCATCAGGTACATGAGGCAGCCCACTAGCTCTTGGTACGGGCCACTCGGCTCTACGGACTCGTCCGAAGGTGGAGCTGAGAGTGAGTGAGCGGTAGACGGGGGAGTGGACTGTGGCGAGGACCAAGTGAAGCCGAAGCGTTGAAGGACCTGCTGCACCATGTGTGACTGAGTCAGGGTGATGGTGCGTCCTGCTCTGTCCTGGGTGATCTGCAAGCCAAGATAGCTGCGCAGCTCACCGAGGTCTGTGTACGTGTGTCTCTTCTGCAGCTCCGACTTCACAAGAGTCAGTGCCTCAGTGTCAGCAGTGGCAAAAACCAAATCGTCGACGTACACGGGGATGTAGAACGGCGGCAGCGAAGTGTCGGTGCGGAGAAACAGTGACGGGTCTGCAGTCGAAGGAGCAAACCCAAGTGCCGCAAGCGTCGTCCTCAGTGTGTCGTGCCACTCACGAGGCGCCTGGCGGAGACCGTAGACTGGCCGTCGGAGGCTCCACTGGGTACCTGCAGGAAACGACCTAGTGAAGCCAGGTGGACGGCGCAGCCAGATCTCCTTGTGCAGGCTGCCCTGTAGGAAAGCTGTGCTGAACTCAAGAGAGTGAAGCTCGTAGTCACGCTGAGCGGCAACGTGCAGCAGCACCCGAAGAGTGGTCATCTTCGGGGTAGGGGAGAAGGCATGGAAGAAGTCAACTCCCTGGCGCTGACTGAAGCCTCTAGCAACGTAACGAGCCTTGAAGACAGGCGGAGAACCCGACGGCCGCTTCACCCTGAAAATCCACATACCATCGACTATGTTCGCCCCAGGAGGGGGAACTGCGTCGACGTAGGTGCCTGTGGACTTCCAGGATGCCATCTCTGCGTCCATGGCTGTCTGCCACTGAGAGGAGTACTCACCCGCGATCGCCTCAGCGTAAGAGCGCGGGGTCGGGATGTCTGGTGCATCCGGGTCTCCCTCAGGGGCAAGCAGCATGGCCACGAGATGAGGCGCAGCGGCTGCAAGACACTCAAAGTCCTCCTGCCTGTCCTCAAGGACGTCCGTGCCAAGAGCACACTCACCCCCGACGGACGGAGGACAGACAGACTCAGACTCAGCAACAAGACTAGCGGCGTAGTCCAGACGACAAGCAGCAGCAAAGTCAACAAGCTCAACGACTAAGGCAGACACAGCAGCAGACTCAAACGAAGGGTCAGCGACAACAATGGCTAACAGACGCGTAACAGTAGGACTGGCAGCACGAACAGGGTCAGACTTAGGGTCCGGAACGTGCGGAAGAGAGGACGCAGGAGGAGACGGTAGTGGAACACGCTGTGGAACAGAGGAAGGACGAAGTGCCATAGTGTGCGTGCCGGGGACCCGAGGAGGACGCTCACGAGGAACACGGCGACCAGTGCGACCAGGGCGAACAGGCGAGGCAGGACGAGACGCAAGCTCGCGACGCTCTGTAAGATCTCCTGTCTGCTCAGTGTAAGGAGAGGGAGCAGGCAACACAACACCTTTAACTGCATTCAACACCTCTGGTGGTCACAAGGCGAAAGCGCCTTGGTGAAGATGTCTGCAATGTTGGCCTCAGACTCCACAAAGTCAAAGCGAGCCTGCTCACGCCTCTGCAACTCTCGAAGAAGAAAGTACCTGACGTTGATGTGCTTCACTCTGCTCTCCAGTCGCGGCTCTCGACTAGGGCCCTATATATCAGACTTTTTAGTCTGATTCAGAGTCTGTTCAGACTTTTTTTTTGTACCTAGTCTGCACCCCAAGAATTTATTTTATGTACCCTGTCTGATCTTTCAGAGTTTTTTTGTACCGTATTCTCCCGGACATAACACCCTAGGGTAGATCTAAAAATACAGGAAAAATTAGGGGGGTGTCTTCTCATAGGAAAAAGCTACATAATACCCGGGTGCATATATATGGTATATTTTAGTGTAAGAGTTTTTTTTATTAGACAAGTTGAGTGTTTCCATGGGCGTTTTAACATCACATGTTGAGGCGCGAATGTGAGTTTCGACGCAAACGTCATCACCCCCTCGAAAATGCCATGTGGCACCTGTCTGGCCACTTGCAGCGCAAGATTCGCCAGCACGTGGCGATAGCGAGATGGTGGGCGGGGGGGAATCTCGGCAGATTCGAATTGAATTCATCGAGGGAGTAATTTTCGCGAGATGGTGGGCGGGGGGGAATCTCGGCAGATTCGAATTGAATTCATCGAGGGAGGGAATCCCATACTTGCACCTACTCGTTAACAAATACAATAAAGAATTTGCAAGAAAAGGGGGGTGTTATAAATAATCAGCCAAGAAGGGGGGTATAGTAGAAACGAGGTCGCCCATGGCACCCACCTCGCACAAGCTACCCGGGGGTGCTCAATCATGGGGGGGTGTTTTGTCCGGGAGAATACGGTATGAGCTATCTGTAATTTTAGGCTAATTTTTGAAGTGTAGTCTGAGCCTCAGACTTGTATCGGGGGTGCACTCTGAAACCGGTCAAACAGGGGTTTTTGCTAGCCTGGCGGCGTGTAGCACTAACACCGTCTATCACGGGCGGGAACCCAAAGTTCACCAAGCGCGGCACCGCACAGTCGCGTTGGTACAGAATTGCTGTAATCAGTACAAATTCCAACCAATCGCGGCAGCGCAGCATGAAGTGTTGGCAAGATTCCTTGCCAACGCATAGCTCGCAGCGCGCCCCCCCCCCTGCTCAACACCACAACCATCCACCACACCCCACCTTCCTCGCTGCCCACGCATAGCTCGTAGCGCGCTGCCACTCTCATGTGACCACATCCATCCACCCCATTCACCCCACCTTCACTGCTTTCACGACCAGGTGCCGTGCATGCAGTGACCACATGGGTGATGAGAGGTCCTAATACGAGGACCTCTCAACTTCCTCTTGGTCACCGTTCTTGCCATTGCCAGTCTCTCTCGCCCGGTTGCCTCGCCAGAAACTAGTGCTGGAGCCCTTGTTTCAGGCTCCCTTTTCCGAGTTTGCTACACCACTGCTCGGCAGACTCTATGGCAGCCACAGACGCTGCTGCTGATGTGGCCGACGATGAAGATGATGCCGACGGTCGCCCAGTTCCCGACCCTCTCACCGGCCTAGACTTCCTACGAACGGTCTTACTGAAGCATGGGACACCGCCTGCGTCACCGTCGCAACCCACCTCGAGGAGCCCTTCGATTCCCAGGGTCTCTGCACCTCTGCACGAGGTCATCACTGAACTAGTCACCGCTGCGCAACAGACGGTGCCCCATGAGGCGTCTGTCGAAGCACCTTCCCGTCCCGCGCCACCGACGAAGCTGCGGTACCGCCAGACCACGTTTCCGTGGGCAACTCCACCTCCTCCATCGACCGTTGAAACTCCAGTGAGCGAAGAGTCTCCCATGCAGGACAGCTCGAAGCCCAAGTTCGACAGCTTTGAGCTGAAATACGAAGAAGCTCATGAGCGTTTCAAGACTAGGTGGTCCACCGATTATTCATGGTTGATTCTTACTAAAACCTCTTCTGGTGCCCCTTCTTTCAAGTGCAGTATTTGCTTGGAGTTTGCGGGCTTGACTGGCAAGTGTGGACGACGTGGCGAGGGCGCGACCGACGTGCAGACACTGTCCTTCAAGAAGCACGAAGGGACTGTGAAGCACCGATTTGATTTGAAACGGCAGGAGGATCTGCTGCAGAAGTACGGGCGACAGCAGCGCATCGACATGCACCCGAAGGCGCAGGACAAGGAGCTGCTGCAGGTTTCGTCGCTCGTGAACTCACTGTACCTCATGGGGAAGTGCAACGAGCCCATGGACTCGTGGATCCGGCTGGTGCGCTACCTGGCGAAGAAGAAGGTGCCCGGGTTTCCCGAGCAGGGGTACGGCACGTACTACAACACGTAAGTAAATTCGGTTGTAGTAAGCACCGTGTATTGAGGTGTCACTCCTTGACCGTTGCTGATGCCTTTTGTTTTTTGTGTAGGTACGGTTTTGGAGAACTCAATCAGGCAATTGCAACGTGGCTCCAAACAACGCAATTGGACCACCTTCTAACGAGCCCCTTCATCGGGATTACTCTGGACGAGAGCACCGACCGGCAGCGCGGCAAACACATGATTGTGTTTGCCACTTTTCTTCGCGAAGGCCAAGTTGTGACTGAGTTCATCGCCCATCTAACGATTGAGAAGGCTGACGCTGCATCGTTGTGTAGTTTGTTAATTTCCCATCTCAGGGCAGTCGGCGTTGATCTTCGTCGGATTTCTGGTGTGAGCACGGATGGCGCCTCGGTGATGGTGGGGGCACAAAATGGTGTGGTTGCCCGTCTTTGGATGCTCATCCCCAACGTGGTCTCGTTCCACTGCATTACTCACCGGTAAGTACATGCTTATGCACTGATGTTTAGACGGGGACTTTTTTGTTTCTTTTCTAACCGAGCTTGTTGCAATGTTTTGCAGGGAGGCGTTGGCTGCCGAAGCCGCGGCAGAGGCGATTCCAACCTTCAACATGGTTGACGACGTGATCCACGCCGTCGCAGAGTATCTCGGGCGGTCGTCACCATGGCATCAGCAGTTCATGGAGCTGCAGGAGGTGTTCACGTCGACCAACCTCGAGGTGCAAGGGATTTGCGACGTGCGGTGGCTTTCAAGAGGTGCTGCAGTCGCACGCTTTGTCCAAGTCCTTCCCGCCGTCATGGTGATGTTGTCGGAGTGGAAGGACCAGACCATGTACGAGCTCGTGACGTCGTACAGGTTCCAGTTCCTGATCAGGTTCCTCGCGGACCTTCTCGAGCAGCTCAACGTCCTCTCGTCGGTTTTCCAGAAGCGGGAGGTTAGTATCTTGGGTGTGTGGCTTGTCTTGTTTCCAACACTAATCCCGGTGTACTGACTTTTGTTTAACTTGTGTTTTGCAGCTCGACTACGCGTTGGTGCACACCCAGATTGTGCGCACAACCTCCTTGTTGGAGAGCCGGTACATCGATTGTGGTGATGACTTCGGGGGGGGGTCCAACGAGAGGCTGTACCGCTTCATTGAGAAGCATGGTCCGACGGAGTCACCAGAAACGGTGGTTGAAGGAGCATCGTCGGACGACAGTCTCAACCGCTTCAAGATTACCCTTCATGAGCGCACCAACCCGAACTATCGTGTGCCGGGTCATCACCACGCCTGCGTGGCGCTCTGCACCGACATGGCCGAGCTTGTCGTCGAGAACCTCCAGTCAAAGCTAGGCGACCTTGACTCTCTTTCCGGAATGAGACTGTTTATTCCGGAAGGATGGCAACCAAACTGGGACCGGGATGCACGGCAGGCACAGTGCCAGGAGTGGTTGTTGTCGCTTGTGACGTTGTTCCGCGCAGATGAGTCCGACGAGATCCTACCAAGTCAGTTACCCTATGTGTTACCCTGTTCCCCTTAGAAACCGCATCGTTAACTAAACCCGTGTCTTGTCTAACCTTGCAGGCATTGACAAGAAGCGGGCCTTTAAGGAGCTGCGGACTCTGTGTCCGGTCCTTGCCAGGGCGCCGAAGAGCGAGCGAAAGTTCCACACGGGACTCCATGTCATTCTCAAGACACTAGACTGGCAGCAAGCATACCCCAACCTCGTCGGCCTTTGGGTGGCTATTGCAGTGCTTCCTCTCAGCACTGTCGAGTGTGAGAGAGGGTTCTCTCGACAGAATCTCATCAAAACGTGGCAGCGGGGCAGTATTAAGGATTGCAGGATGAGTGATCTGCTGTGTATTTCAATGCTAGATTATGAGATAGACGTCCCTGGGGTAGTGGAAATTTGGTGCAGCTACAAGAAGCGCCGGCCAGTCACAGCCCCTGCTGCAAGACACAGGGAGGAGCCCCTGAGGCCTGGGAAGGAGCCTGTAGATGAGCCAGTAGTTGTGGCACGTGCTCCTGTAGAATCTCTGTCAAACTCTGATGCATAAATGTAAATTTTGTAAGTGCCCCGACATCAGAGTAAAATTTGGGTGTTAGTCTGTGAGATCAGCGTTGAAATTTATGTGCAGTCTGTACTTTCAGACTAAAAATTGCTGCCAACTCTGACAGCCAGAGTACCAGAAGGGGTGCACTCTGAGCCTTCAGAGTGCCCCAAAACGAATCTAGGGGCCTGCTCTCGACAGAGGAGAATTGACGCCTTGTTGTCAGTGAACAAGGTCGGTGCAAAGCTCGGCAGCTCACCAAGGTCGGTGAGCAAGAAGGTCAACCACCGTAGCTCCTGTGCAGCCATGGCTTCAGCCTCAGCGGTAGAGGTCGAGACCGAGGAGGAACGCGTGGACCTCCACGAAACAGCTCCAGAGCCCAGGCTGAAGCAGTACCACTGAGTAGACCTGTGAGTCTCGGCGTCGTCAGCGTAAGAAGAGTCACAGTGTCCAGTAAGTACAAAAGACTGCTGCCCTCCAAGACCCAGCCCCACGCCTGATGTTGTTGCTAGGTACTTCACCACCCTCACAGCAGCTGTCCAGTGAACTGGACGGTGTCTCCCTGGCGCAACAAAGCGAGCAAGGATGCTGAGAGGGAAGGCGAGGTCCGGGCGGGTACAAGTCATCAGGTACATGAGGCAGCTCACAAGCTCTGCGTAAGGAACACTAGGCTCAAACGGCTCGTCAGGGAAGGGTCCAGTGAGTCTGTGGTCAACAGCAAGAGGTGTGCGCTGTACTGTGGAGTGCTGAAGCTCGAACCGTTGAAGGACCTGCTGCACCAGGTGTGACTGGGTCATAGTGATGGTGCGAGCTGCTCTGTCTCTAGCAGTGCCCTAGATATCAGCATTCAGCGTTACACCAGGGTTTTTTTTTTTTTTTTTTTTTTTTTTTTTGGGTAGGCTGAATCCAGAGTTTTTTTTTTGAGTGTTTTTTTTTTTTTTTTTTTTTTTTTTTTTTTAATTTTTGTACAGTGGCTGATTTTTGAGTGTTTTTTTTTTTGCTGTTTTTTCAGCCTTTTTGTAGGAGTGTAGGCTATGCACTTAGCCTTGTATAGGGGTGCACACTGAAACCACCATATCAGGGATTTCCGCTAGCCTGGCGAAGTGTAGGACTAGTCAATCACTACACAGATTTCCCCCTCGCCGCACAGTCGCGTTGGCAAGATTCGTTGCCAACGCATGGCTCGCAGCACGCCAGGGTCCTCGTTAGGATTTCAGAGGGCCTGGTGCATCAGACGGGCCCTTCGGGTGCGTCTGATTCATGAGAGAAATTTGTATCAGATATTCGGCCAGACCTTGCATGACCAATCAAACAAGATTGTACAATCTACTGTAGTTTCAGTTTTTGGATGCAAGTGGTTCGGCCTTGAATGGCCACTGCAGATTCGCCCTGGCACAGCAATTTGCCCTGTCGCGGACAAGAGATTCGCCCTGACACAATAGATCTGTTGTGTCAGAGCTGTTTTGCCAAAACCCCCGCACCACGCTGCGCCTCGCACGACACCACAAATATCCACCCCACCCTACCTTCCCTACCTGACCAGCTTCAGTTTTACACCTTACGCTAAAAGTTCAGCCTAAAAGAAATTGGGTTGTCTCAGTTTTCAGCCTAAAATTGTGTGGCCACACTGACTCACAGAGTTTCAGCAGGGGTGGACACTGATCAGTCAGCGTGCCTCAAAACGAAGCTAGGGGCCTGCTCCCTAGTAATCTCCAGGCCAAGGTAGTGGCGCAGCTCACCAAGATCAGTGCACGTGTGTCTCCTCTGCAGTTCGAACTTACATCCGCCAAAGCAACCGTGTCAGCAGACCAGGTCGTCGACGTAGACCATTTCAAAGAAAGGTGTGGAGCCGCGGCGAACAAACAGCGACGGGTCCGTAGAAGTCGGCTGGAAAAAGAAGTCAGACAGGGTAGAGCGAAGAGTGTCGTGCCACTCACGAGGCGCCTGACGGAGACCGTGGACCGGACGTCTGAGCCTCCACAGGGTCCCAGGAGGGAAAGTGCCAGTGGAGACAGAGGGACGACGCAGCCAAACCTCCTCGTGTAGGCTACCCTGAAAGAAGATCCCGGTGGTCGCTTCACCTTAAAGATCCACATGCCATCGACTACGTTCGCCCTCGAGGGGGAACCTCGTCGACGTAGGTGCCTGTGGATCTGTAGGAGGCCATCTTTGCGTCCATGGCAGCTCTCCACTAACAGGCCCAAGGCCCTGACACTGCCTCAGCGTAAGTGCGAGGAGTCGGTATGTCAAGGGCGTCGGGGTTTCCCTCAGGGGCGAGCAGCATGGCAGAGAGATGAGGCGAGGCGGTACTAGGAACTCTAGCTCAAACTGCCTATCCTCTAGGGCGTTACAGCCAAGGGCAGACTCACCCCTGACAGCCAGAGGACGGGTAGGAGGACCAGCCACGACTCAAGTGGCGTAGTCAAGGCGGCGAGTAGCGGCGAACTCAGTGACAGCGACAGTAAGGGCGAAGACAGAGGAAAGATAGGCACGAGGGTTCGTAACAAGGGAGGCGAGAACACGAGAGAGAACAGGACGGTACGTGCGGTAGTAGTCAGTAACAGGAGTAGAGAGGGAAGCAGTAAGTGCCGACTCAGGGGGAGAAGGAAGCACAGACGGAGACGGACGAGGGGAGCTAGAACAAAACAGGATAGCACGAATGTCAGTGACGGGAACAGGGGACGAGGGACGAGCACGAGGAGAGCGAGAAGCCCAAGTGTGAGAAAGAGGAGGGGACAACAGAGGCCGAGAACGGGGGAAAACAGCCGGGGTGGAGTCAGGAGGAGGAAACGTGGAACCGTAGATAGGAGGAGAGGAGGGAGGAGGGGAGGGGAGACCAAGGGCCTGAAGGCCAGAGACAAGAGGCGTAGGAGGCCGCAGCAGCAGCAGCTGCTGCTGCTCCTGCTGCTGCGGCTGCTGTTGCTGCTTTGGCTCCTGCTGCTCCTGCCGTGGTGGCTGTTGCTGCTCCTTCTGCTCATGCTGCTGCTGCTGCTCCTCCAGCTGCTGTAGCTCCAGGTGCTGCCGCTCCAACGCTAGTCTCTCTCGCTCCAACTCCAGCTGCTCCTCACGTGCACGGCAAAGAAGGGCCTGGTGCCTGGTCGGGTAGAGGTGGGGGGGATGAGTAGTGTCTGGGGCGGTGGTAGCCCCAGGACCGCTCTCCAAAGCACCAGTCGCACCACCCCCAGAGCCAGCACCACCAGCAGCAACGCGGCTAGTCCTAGGCTCTCCAGATCCTGTAGAGGGCTCACCCGCACCCCCAGTCGTAGCACCCCCAGGGACAGCTCGACTAACACCAGCTCCCCAAAGAATAGAACCTCCTTCAAACACGGGCTCAGCTCCAACTCCACCACCCCCAGCACCAAGACCTCGTGCAGGCACACTCTCAGCTCCAACTCCAACACCTCTAGAGGTAGCACCTCCAGGGCCTGCGCTACGGTCACCAACACCCTCAGGGTCTGCAGCAGCCTATGGAGGAAGTGCTGACGGCTGCTTCGGTGACTGTGAGGAGGACTGCGGAGAAGGGGACTGGACCTGAGGGGCTACCGAGAGGGGGGGGATAGCGTGTGACACACCTGACGGGGCTGGACCAGGGGGGGGAAGCTATACCGGAGGAGCAGGAGGGGGAGTGGGAGTCAGGAAGAGAGGGGGAGGAGGAACCGGGAGACCTCGACAGGGGTACTGGGTGTAGTAGGGGACTGACTCGTCAAAACGGACGTCACGGGAGTCAAGGAACCGGTGAAGGGGAGGGAGGTAGAATGTGAAATCAGAGGAGTCCTCTGGGAAACCAAGGAAGACACAGGAAAGGGTGCGAGGGGAGAGCTTGTCCGTGGAGGTGTCGCGAACAAGCGCCAAGCAGCCCCATACACGAAAACGCGACGCAACACCAGGGGACCCGGTCCAAAGACTGGTCGGTGAAACCCCTGGCCGGGAGGCACGTGGCCAGAGGTTCAGCTAGTGAGCGGCGTAGCGAACCGCATAGGGCCACAGAAAATGGGGCGCACGGGCGTGGATCATGGAGGTGCGTGCAATCTCTATGACCAAGCCTATGCGTCGCTGAGCAACCCCATACTGCTGTGGAGACTCTAGAAGCATACAGGACTGGAGGATTCCATGCTCGTGACAGAATCCGGCGAGAACGCTGGAGCCTCACCCCCATGGTCAGAGTGAAGACAACAGACACGACAATGACGAGTACCCTCTGTGGTGAGCAACTACCGGATCAGCGTAGAAGTCACGTCGGACTTCTTCGCCAAAGTGAAAATGGTGGTGTAGCGAGAGTAGTCGTCGACGACAACGAAAAAGCAACTCTCTCGCTCAGGACCAGGGCGAGAGGCAGGGCCCTAGACGTCCAAGTGGAGAGTCTCGAAGAGCTCGGTGGCCGGACGGAGGGAGGAGGAGTGAGGGGTGGTGCGCAGCCGACCCTCGACACAAGGGCCGCAATGTGGTGCATGCGAAGGCGACAGAGACGGCAAGACTTGTGAAAGGCCTA